TAAATTGTTTCAGTCAATGTGGAAAGCGGTATGGAGGTTTATCAAACTAAAGATAAAATTACCATACCACCCAGCAATTCCATTCCTGAGTACATATATCAGAAAGAAACAAAAACACCAATGTTCATGCAACTGCCAAGGTATGAAAGCAATCTAACTGTCCATCAACAGATTTGAGGATACATACGTGTATGTGTGTGTGTGTGTGTAATGGAATACTACTCAGGAATAAACAAAGAAAGCAATTTTGCCATTAGCAGCAACATGTATGGACTTGGAGAGCAATCAGTTCAGATCAGTCACTCAGTTGTGTCCAATTATTTGCAACCCCATGGATGCAGCATGCCAGGCCTCCCTGTCCATCACCAACTCCTGGAGCTTGCTCAAACTCAAGTCCATCGAGTTGGTGATGCCATCCAATTATCTCATCCTATATCATTCCTTTCTCCTCCTGCCTTCCATCTTTCCCAGCATCAGGACATTTTCCAATGAGTTGACTCCTTGCATCAGGTGGCCAAAGTATTGGAGTTTCAGCTTCAGCATCAGTCCTTCCAATGCATATTCAGGACTGATTTCCTTTAGGATGGACTGCATTGATCTCCTTGCAGTTCAAGGGACTCTCAAGAGTCTTCTCCAAACAACAGTTCAAAAGCATCAATTCTTCGATGTTCAGCTTTCTTTATAGTCCAACTCTCACATCCATACATGACTACTGGAAAAACTGTAGCTTTGACTAGGTGGACCTTTGTTGACAAAGTAACATCTCTGCTTTTTAATATACTGTCTATGTATGTAATAGCTTTTCTTCCAAGTAGCAAGCATCGTTTAATTCCCTGGCTTCATGTCACCATCTGCAGTGATTTTGGAGCCCAAGAAAATAAAGTTTACCACTGTTTCCATTGTTTCCCCATCTATTTGCCATGAAATGATGGGACCAGATGCCATGATCTTAGTTTTTTGGGAAAAAAACAAAAACAAAACTGTTTCATCAAGAGGCTCTTTAGTTCTTCTTCACTCTTTGTCATATGGGTGATATCATTTGCATATCTAAGTTTATTACTATTTCTCCTGGCCATGTTGATTCCAGCTTGTGCTTCATCTAGCCCAGCATTTCACATGATTTATTCTGTATAGAAATTAAATAATCAGGATGACAATATACAGCCTTGATGTAGTCCTTTCTCAGATTTGAACCAGTCCATTGTTCCATGCCTGGTTCTAAATGTTGCTTCTTGACTAGCATACAGATTTCTCAGGAGGCAGGTAAGTGGTTTGGTATTCCCATGTCTTTAAGGATTTTCCACAGTTTGTTGTGATCCACACAGTTAAAGGCTTTGGCATCATCAATAAAGTAGAAGTAGATATTTTTCTGGAACTCTCTTGTTTTTTATGATCCAATGGATGTTAGTAATTTGATGCTTCCTCAGCCTCTTCTACATCCAGCTTGAACATCTGCCAGTTCTTGGTTCATATTTTGTTGAAGCCTGGCTTGGAGAATTTTGAGCATTACTTTGCTAGTGTGTGAGATGAGTGCAATGGTGCAGTAGTTTGAACATTCTTTGGCATTACCTTTCTTGCCTTTCCTTTGAGGGCAATATGGTATGTGAAATAAGTCAGATAGAGAAAGACAAACACTGTTTGATATCACTTAATACATGAAACAAACAGAAAAAAATATAGGCAACTAGTGAATAAAACAAAGAAGAAGCTGAATCACAGAAAACAAACCAGTGGTTACCAGTGGGGATAAATAAGGGGTAGGGAAATATAGGACTGAGAAAACAAGGATTACTATGGGATTATGACAGACTTTATTTTCTTGCACCAAAAGTCACTGCAAACTGTTACCACAGGCATGAAATTAAAAGATGTTTGCTCTTTGGAAGAAAAGCTATGACAAACCTAGATAACACATTAAAAAGCAGAGACATAACTTTGCTGACAAAGATCCATATAGACAAAGCTCTGGTTTTGCCAGTAGTTATGTACAGATATGAGAGTTGGACCATAAAGATGGTTGAGCACCAAAGAATTGATGCTTTCAAACTTTGGTGCTGGAAAAGACAGTTGAGAGTTCCTTGCCCCAGAAGGAGGTCAAACCAATCAATCCTAAAGGAAATCAGTCCTGAATACTGCTTGGAAGCACTGATGCTGTAGCTGAAGCTGAAGCTCCAATACTTTTACCACCTGATTGGAAGAGTTGACTCATTGGAAAATATCCTGATGCTGGGAAAGATTGAGAGCATGAGGAGAAGGGGATGACAGAGGATGAGGTGATTGGATGGCATCACCCACTCGATGGACATGAGTTTGAGCAAGCTCTTGGAGTTGATGATGGAGAGGGAAGCTAGGCAGGCTGCAGTACATGGGGTCTCAATGAATCAGACATGACTGAGTACTGAACAACAAATATGAAATTATGTATTTGGGACTTTTGAAAATTGTAAAGCACTAATTTGGGGCTTTCCTAGTGGCTCAGATCATAAAAAAATCTGCCTGCAATGCAGGAGACCTGGGTTTTATCCCTGGATCAGGAACATCCTCCAGAGAAAGGAATGGCTACTCACTGCAGTATTCTTGCCTGGAGAATTCCATGGGCAGAGGAGCCTGGCGGGCTACAGATCATGGGGCTATGGACAAGGGCTATGGGCCAGGTCTGTAGACAAGGTGTCGGACAAGACTTAGTGACTAAACAGCAGCAGCAGCAAAAAAGAAACTGTTTTAAGTCACACAATTTACGGTAATTTGTTACACAGCTGTAGAATACAAGAAGGAATTTTATGCCCACCTAAGAAATCATTACTCTATTACATTTAAGAAAGGAAAGAAACAGTAAAGATGACAACATAATGAAATAGAAAGCATCAAACTAGTGATAACCATTAAAGACAAAAGTTGGATATCTGAAAAAAGTTCTTAAAATTGATAAATCCCTCATGAGAGCTGCAATTACAAAATGTTATACCTTGAAACATGGGGCTTTTCAAATTGCTGACCAATTTGCTCCTGCCAACTCTCTCTTTTTTTTTTTCCATTTATTTTTATTAGTTGGAGGCTAATTACTTTACAACATTGCAGTGGTTTTTGTCATACATTGAAATGAATTAGCCTCCTGCCAACTCTCTAATAAAATATTTACATGTTATAACCCAGTCCTCAACTCACTGTTGCCCGTTTGTGGACTCATATATTTTAATTTTTAGTTTATTCTTTCAATTTTATTATTTTTATAATTATTTTCTTTTTGGAAGCCCCACACGGTTTGTGGGATTTTAGTTCCCTGACCAGGGATTGAACACAAGTCCACAGCAATGAAAGCAGGGTCCTAACCACTGGACCACCAGGAAATTCCCTAAATTCCTCATTTTAGATTCTTAAGGTGTTTAAAGATTGTCCCAAATTTGTAAATCTTCTTGCATGAAACATAATATGTATTTTCAGTTGGATAATTTTGCACAAAAAAACAAATCTAGAGATATTTAAATATCAAGAGAATCAACCCTGTACCTGATACATCCAAATATTTCCTATATTTCAATTTACTTCCTAGGATTATACATGACTTCTGTTACTTAGAGTTTTTTTTAACCTAAAATATTTATTTATTGAGGATCTATTCATTTTTAAATCTAAGAAGAAAAATGAGTTATATAGAAAACATCCAATAAAGTGAAATTTACAATTCAGAATGTGGTTTTGAGATCTTAGGTTATGTAAGAAACCTGAGTCTCAGATGCAGAATTATATTATCAGTTTCATAAGAGATTTAGCAATTTGAATAATTTTTAAAAATATTTTCAAAGAAAGTGTTCCTGGCTTTGATAATCTTCTCAATTTTAGGTTTGTTTTTATTTTATTGATTTATGTTTTTATTGTTATTTCTTTCCTTCTGTTCTTTTGGAGGTTATTTTCCTGATACTTTCCTAATTTTCTATAATAAAAAGATACTTCATGCCTACATTTTTGTCTTTCTTTATTTCCATATGTAAGTTGTTGCTGTTGTTCAGTTGCTAATTCAGTTGCCCATTCTTTTGCGGCCCCATGGACTGCAGCCCACCAGGCTCCTCTGTTGATGGGGCTTACCCGGCAAGAATACTGGAGTGGGTTGCCATTTTGCTCTCCAGGGGAACTTTCTGACCCAGGGATCAAACCTGCATTTCCCTGATTGGTAGGTGGGTTCTTTACCACTGAGCCACAAGGGAAGCCCCATATATGTAAGTACTTTACTTATAATTCCTGATTTATCTGGATAAATTATAATATCAGTATTATCATTCAGTTAAAATATTTTCTAATTATATGCAATTTACATATTTGTCTGTGGCTTAACTAGAATTATGATTCTTAATCCCTTATATATAGAATTTATCTTATTATGTTTGTGCTTAATAGCATCCTGATAAATTTTTCTCCATAATTTCATTTCTGAGATTTATTTTGACTTGTTTTATAGTTTAGTATATTATTTGTATAAATGTGTCATGCACATTTTAAAAGGATCCACATTTTTCATTTACTCATTGCAGTGTTCTAAAGAGTTGTTCCATTTTTTCATGTGCTAAATATCTGGTCTTTCTAGGGCTCCAGGTGAGCATGTCCAAAAGACTGTTGGATACAATTATTTGTGGCTCAAGACGGGGTTATTATCCACTAGATAGTAATTTATGTGAGTGAACAATATGCTTCGGGTAAAATAGCATGTCTTATGCAAGAACTGCATGACATCAGATTGAAGGAATAGACACAGAAAATAAAGTCCATAAAGGAGACTTACAAAATTCAATGAGCTTCTTCAGTTGCTCATTTATTTTTATTAAAATTTCCCTGGAAAATTTATAGCATTATTCTTATATGCAATACTATATTATTTATTAAGCTAATTTTGAAATTTTTTACCTATTTTATTAATTATAAGAAGACTTTTTTAGGGCTGATTATTTTTGATATTCAGGAAACTCCTTGTCCATATTACTGAAATTTTCTATATTAAATTATATTAGGAAACCGTGGCACTGGCTGCAGGAAGATGGCTGCTCGGTCGCGGAGGCATATCTCTGGATTGCAAAGCAGCCACGGGGTGACTTCTGTGATGGGGCTAAGAAGGCGATTGATGAACCTTCTTTTACGACTTCCATGGAGTGGGACACGCAGGTGGTGAAAGGGTCTTTGGGGCTGGAGGAGTTGCCGTCCGGCCCGCGGCTGCCGCGCTGGCTGCAGCCCGAGAGGTGCTCCGTGTTCCAGCGCGCGCAGGGCCACGGCCTGCTCACTGACTCCGTGCACATCGCCTGGGACCTGTCGCGGTCCCTCGGGGCTGTGGTCTTCTCCAGAGTCACAAACAATGTAGGTTTGGAGGCTCCGTTCTTAGTCGGCATTGAAGGTTCGCTCAAAGGCAGGACTTAACAACCTTTTATTCTGTAGTTTCTGTGAGATTCCCATTGGTTTCCACCTATAGTCTACCCCTGCTGCCCTGGCTGCCTTGAGAGGCCACTTCTGCCTTTCCAGTGACAAAATGGAGTGCTACCTCTTAAAAACAAAAGCCATAGTAAATGCATCTGACATGGATATCCATATCATCCCTCTACCAGAACGGATTGCAGAGCTGAAAGAGCAGATAATGTTAACACATAGTTGCTTAAATTCACTCATGAAAATTCTGAAGGAAGTGCCTCCTGACCAGTCCAAGCAAACAAACTGATTCAGAATTAGAGGTTGAGTATCAGAGGCAGGCCTTATTGCTGTCTTCAACAACAGGTGCTGTTTGATCACTTCTCAAGAAACATCAATTTCAAGAATGGATATGGAATTTAGAAAGATGGTAACGATAACTCTATGTGCAAAACAGAAAAAGAGACTCCTATGTATAGAACAGACTTGTGGACTCTGGGAGAAGGCGAGGGTGGGATGTTTCAAGAGAACAGCATTGAAACACGTATATTATCTAGGGGGAAACAGTTCACCAGCCCAGGTTGGGTGCATGAGACAAGTGCTCGGGCCTGGTGCACTGGGAAGACCCAGAGGGATTGGGTGGAGAGGGAGGTGGGAGGGGGGACCGGGATGGGGAATACATGTAAAAAAAAAAAAAAAAAAAAAGATACACTATGGTTGTGATAAAAAAAAAAAAATAAATTAATTAAAAAAAAAAAAAAAAAAGAATGGATAGGAAATGTGGTTTATTATGTTTACCTCTAGACTGATTTTCCAAGTGATTTGTGAAGCTCTTTCTAGAGGAGGAGAAACAGACTTCTGTCCAGGTATTATAGCTATTTGTCTTAATTTATTTTGGCTTCTTTTCAACTTCATACTATTTATTTTTGAGAACATTCTGATTGCAAATTTAAGAATTAAGAACCAGTGTCCCATGAATGCTCTGATACAAAGATGCATGATTGGCCTGAAAATAGAGTTGTAATTCTGTCAAATAACTATTATTCCTACATGGAGCAGCTGTCATATGAATACTGAGAAATCACTTTTTTCTTACATGAAATACAGATACATACTAAAGAGCCTCTAGATGAAAGTGAAAGAGGGGAGTGAAAAAGTTGGCTTAAAGCTCAACATTCAGAAAACTAAGATCATGGCATCCAGTCCCATCACTTCATGGCAAATAGATGGGGAACAGTGGAAACAGTGGCTGACTTTATTTTTGGGGGCTCCAAAATCACTGCAGATGGTGATTGCAGCCATGAAATTAAAAGATGCTTACTCCTTGGAAGGAAAGTTATGACCAACCTAGACAGCATATTAAAAAGCAGAGACATTACTTTGTCAACAAAGGTCCGTCTAGTCAATGCTATGGTTTTTCCAGTAGTCATGTATGGATGTGAGTTGGACTATAAAGAAAGCTGAGTGCCAAAGAATTGATCCTTTGAACTGTGGTATTGGAGAAGACTCTTGAGAGTTCCTTGGACTGCAAGGAGAGCCAACCAGTCTATTCTAAAGGAAATCAGTCCTGGATGTTCACTGGAAGGATTGATGTTGCAGCTGGAACTCCAATATTTTGGCTACCTGATGTGAAGAGCTGACTTATTTGAAAAGACCCTAATGTTGGGAAAGATTGAAGGAGAAGGGGATGACAGAGGATGAGATGGTTAGATGGCATCACTGACTCAATGGGCATGAGTTTGGGTAAACTCCGGGAGTTGGTGATGGACAGGGAGACCTGGCATGCTGCAGTTCATGGGGTCTCAAAGAGTTGGACATGACTGAGCAACTGAACTGAACTGAACTGAACATATTCTGTAGGTAATGTTCAATAGGTTAACTCTGTAATATATATTTATCTTTACCGTTTCAGTTGTAAACTGAAAAGGAATAGTAATAACAGGATAGAAATGAAATTAACAGTATAGTAATGTAAGGAATGATAAAAATACCAAATATTCACTGAGTGCCATTCTCTCATTATTTTGCTTTATGTAGCACTGTGGTTCAAAAGTTTATCATAGTATTCATTTAATAAATAGCTATAAAATATTGTGCTAGCTGCTGGAAATAAGCAAAAACCTATATTCTTTATCTTCAGAGCTTATAATCTAGTTGGACATGGACATTCAAATAACCACATGAAGGCATTTAAAATTACAACTGTAACAAGAGTTTTGAAGAAAAGGGACATAGAGAAATAAACACATATAGCAGGTGACTGACCTGGTTTGGGGGTCAGGGAAGGTCTTTCTGTGGAAGTATTTCAGTAGTGGTCTGAAAGATTAGTAGGGGTTAATAAACTGATAGAGGGAACAGCTTATATGAAGGGCCTGTGAGGCCCCTAAAAAGGCATGTAGGAGTTGTAATAGTGTCCAGAAACCAGAGGCTGCAAAGCCTTATTGGCCTCCTGAAGGATATTTGTTTTTATCCCAACAACAATGAAAAGCTCTTGGAAGAATTTTAAAGGAGGAAGCCTATGACAGGATCAAATTTTCTTTTCCAGAATCTCATTATGGCTGTCTTGTGAAGAATGGGTGAGAGGGCAGCAAGCAGACCTCGAGGGGCTGGACTAGTCCAGTCAGGTGATGATACAGCCAAGGAACGGTGTGCAGATAGGGTAACAGCGTTCAGACGGGGCTAGTAGATTTAATAGCAAGTTCTTTCCCTTTTTGACTGCATAAAGGATATTTTCCTTTAAAAATATTTGAGACAGAAAACTCTGACTTGCTTTATGTTTTACAGTTTGCAAAATTTAGTTAAGTAAGGAGGGAGCCTCTGGCAACCAGCAGTACCATAAAAGCTCTATTCCTGAAGAATGAGACCCAGTAATAGTCTCTACTGAATCATCGTGGGGTTTGTATTGTGTGTGGGTATGTCTACCTCAACACATTTTATCTAAATTAAGCTCTTCTTATGTAGCTATTTTCCTTAACTTTGGATTTGCTCTTTTGGTAAACTTTCAATGGAAAATTAAATGCTTGAACTTGACATCTTAAAAAAAAATATGTTAAAGTTTGTGGTAAATTCTAGTATATATTTTTTTTAAGCATAATACCATATGTGAAAAATATTATTTTATGTTTATATATATATTAGAATAGCAAAAAATTATAACAAACCTTTTGATTCTGTGGCTAGATATAATATGAAGTCTCTAGTGTATTTTTTAAATACAACTCTGTTGTCTGAAAGTGCATCATCTTCACCTGGAATTAATTTTAAATTTTAACTTGTTTATCTAGCATGTTAAAATATAACTATGTTTTAAATATTTTGGTAAATAGTACTCAGTCCTGTTTTCTAGGACCAAGTTTTTCAATTATTGTAGAAGAATTAATGAGAATTTTGCACAGAGTTTTAGACACCACCACATACATAACTGAATTAACTAGAAATGAAGATTGTTATTTTTATTTTATGCCTATAAATTAAACCTACGTCAGAAATTGATGTTTTACAGTTTAAATTGCCACAAAAAGATTGACTTTTAGGTGACAAATATGATAGAGGATTTTTTTTACCAATAAAGAAAGTTTATAAAGTAAAAATGGGGACTGTGAAAACTATTGTACATGTGTGAGTGCTCAGTCAGGTCTGACACTTTGTGACCCCATGGACTATGACCACTAGGCTCCTCTCTCTGTGGGATTTTCTAGGCAAGAATACTGGAGTGGGTTGCCATTTCCTTCTTCAGAGGCTTTTCCTGACCCAGGGATTGAACCTGGGTCTTCTGCACTGGTAGGCAGATTCTTTATTACTGAACCACCTGCAAACTATTTCACACCTATTTATAAGCTATACTGAAGAAGAGTTTTTAAAGAACTGTTGGGTTTAGGCTAAGATTATAGAAACATGGACACTTTTAGAATTTTACTTTCTGAAACTACATTTACTTGCATTTTAATCAAGTGTTACTTAATAAATAATTATAACAGAACATATTTGCTGAATAAATGAATGAGTAATTTCATAGCATTAACCATTTTATATTGCAGCAATTTTAGATGACACTGTAAGTGCCTTTATGAAAATAAAAAAAAAGATTTGAATAGTTATTTTTAAACTATTATTATATTTTAGTGTTGGCCTGTCATGAAGCTTTTAAATAGCTCTAATTAATGTTTTCTCTTATTCTTTTAAATTTCTATTGTAATTTTAAATAGTTACATGGCACAAGTTCCTTGGAGCACTTTATAGAAAAAATAGCTTGGTAGGCACTTATACAAGTAAGTAATCATTTTAGACTGTGGCTTTTCAACAGTTTTTTGGAAATTACTTTTAAAAATTTTGAAAACATAGAATACCAATAATGTGTATACAGTTATAAGACTAGGTGTATTGAAAAAGCTGTCAGGCAGTCTTTGGAAAGTTAGAAACTACACAAATAAATAACTTATTGGCTGACAGGCCTTTGCAGGAAAAATGTTTCTTTAAAAAAAAAAATGTGAAAAACAAAGGCAACATGAAATTTAGTCAAAAAACATTTATAATTTTCTCAGCATAGATAAAAGTCCATAAATTTTGTTGTTTCTGAATGTCTCCACATTAATTCTAAACCCTAAAATCATGTATATAAATGGAAAAGATAAAAGAGCAACCAAATAAGCATTTAGTCAAATCCTAAATATACTTTTTACTTTATAGTTAAATTTTTTAGACTGCTTCAGTCTACATTTTAATTAAGTGATGAACATTATTTTGAGATATTTTTATATGCACCCATACTTACTGATATTATTTTTCTGGTTGCACTAAAGTTTAGTAATACTATTGGAATTCAACTCCAGAAAATATTGTACCATCCAATGAATATACTATCAAATAAATGCTATAAATAGTTCCCATGTTGAACAATGTACTTAATCTCATAGCATATTATTTTTCTAAGAAAACCCTTTCTAATAACATATATTTACTTTTATTGTGTGAATGAAAATGTAAGTAATGTTTGTAAAGTATAGTAATTTAAAAATTGTAGGGTATCAGTAAATAAAACTTAATTTCTCTACCACAGGGGAAGAAGTGGTTTCCCACAAAGTACTGAAATAAACTATTCCCTGCCTGTGAATAGATAAATGGAAAGAAACATGATGATTTCAATTAATGTTTCATATAGCTTACTTTGTGAGAAAGAAGGGAGGTGATACATTTTTATTATAAATCATACCTTGAATGTGAACATGAATGTTGCTCAGTCATGTCCAACTCTTTGCAACCACATGGACTATACAGCCCATGGAATTCTCCAGGCCAAAATGCTGGAGTGGG